TTTGGTGATTTTTAAATGATTCAACTCTTTCATTGTGTGTGTAAAGTAGTTTTCCCCCAAACCCAGAAAGAAACCAGTCAACAGGGCTAACAATTGATTTTTTTCCTGAATGGACTATAGTATCTTTATGAAATAATTTGTTAAATGTCTATTGTGTGCCAGGCACTGTGCTAAGCACTGGGGACACAAACATGAAAATAAAAATCTTTGCCCTCAAAGAGTTTACATTCTATAGGAGACAACATGTACACATCAAAGCATATACAAAATAAAAGGTAATTTGGGAAAGGGGGATTAGTGAAGGCTTCACGTATAAGACAGCATTTGAGTTGTTGTAAATTAGGGGCAGCTAGGTGGCTCAGTGGATAGAGCACTGGGCTGGAATTAGGAAGACTCATCTTTAAGAGTTCAAATCCAGCCTCAGACACTTACTGTGTGACCCTGGGCAAGTCACTTAACCCTGTCTGACTCAGTTCCTCATCTGTAAAATAAGCTGGTAAAATGCACTCTAGTATCTTTGCCAAGAAAACCCCAAAATTGGGTTATGAAGAGTCATACACAAGTGAACAACAGGAATTCTAAAAGGCAGTGGTGAGGTGAGAGTAAATTCCAGGCATGGGGGAATGCCAATGTAAAGGCAACCAAGATGGGAGATGGAATATTATTTGGCTTGATCATCACTTGAGTAAAGGAAAAAATAAGTGGAGGCTGGATTGTGAAAGGCTTTGAATATAACACAAATAAATTTGGATTTAATTCTAGAGACAACAGAAAACTACTGGAGTTTGAATAGAGTAGTACTTTAGGAGTATCACTTTGGTAATTGAGTAGAAGGATTAGGAAGGGGAGAGACTTGAGACAGAGAAACCAATTTTAGAAGTGGAAATGAAGGTCTTACCCAGGATGGTGGCCACATGAGTGAAGAGAAGGAGACTGATTTAAAAGGTTGTGAAACAATGCCAAGGTCCGACCAGAAGATGTATTTAACCAGAGAGGGTAGAAAGATGATCACATCTCACCCTCCCTGCAATAGCCAATCACAGGGTTTGTTTCCAATACAACCACAGCTACTCTTATCCCCCAATACTCCTCAGCTTTGCCTCCTCCCTATGATGTGCAAACTCCCCAGTTTCCCCTTTTCAAGGATCCTCAGGGCAGTTATAACCCAACAGCCATACAACATCGGCCGAGAAAATACAAATCACCGCCCTACACACACCAGGTCACTTCATGGCTGTGACAAGTGCCCTTCAGTTCTATACCCTTTACATTTTAGGTGAAACAGAATAAGTCATACCAGAAGAGCAAGACTGGATAGGTTGTGCTCTTCATCATACATCTCATTACATTACTTTCCCTCCAAACCTATCCCTCTTCCTAACTTTCCCCTTATTTTCAAGGATACCACATCTGCACAGTCACCCAGAGTTACAACTTCAGCATCATTTTGGACTTCCCCATACCCTGCATTTCCAATCAATTGCCAAAATTTGTCTTATCTACCTCCATAACATCTCTTTCACATTTCTTTTCTTACATGACCAGCACTCTACTTCACGCCTTCATTACCTTTCACCTGTAATATTGCAATAGCCCAATTGCTCTCTACCTCGAGTCTCTTTCCACTCAAATCCATTTCCCACAGTTGCCAAAATGCCTTTTCCATAGCAGGGGTCTAACTTGGGGGCGGGGAACCTGAGGTATCGAGGCCACATGTGGCCCTTTAGGTCCTCGAGTATGGACCTTTTACTAAATCCAAACTTCAAAGAACAAATCCCCTTAATAAAAGAATTTGTTCTGTAAAACTTGGACTCAGTCAAAAGGCTGCACCCAAGGACCTAGAAGGCCACATTCGGCCTCAAGGCTACAGGTTCCCCATCCCTTGTCTAACCATCACTCTGCTACTCAATAAACTTCACTGTCTCCCTACTGTCACTAGGATCAAACATTTCAGCTTTATTTCATCCTTTTTAGTTTCTATTTTTGTATGTCAAAATATACACACTCATTAGGTATAGCTGGAAATTTGTAAATCAGCAAATATACACCTATCAGGGTTACATGCTCAAAAAATTTTTTTATCATTAAGGGTGTGTGATCAAGTTTGGAGACCACTATTGTAAAAGTAGAAACAACAATATCTGGCAAGTAATTGGCTACATGGGGTGAGACTTAGGAGTCAAGTATGACCCTGAGGTTCATATGGATATAGATCTCACTGAGGAAGCCCTCAAGATTCCCGGGGATCAATGCAATCAGTACAATTTAATCTACAAATAAAAACATCTCAACTACTACTTCTACATGGGAGCCCTTTTCCACTTGGACTTTACAAAGACAATACACCATGATAGTAACATCTGTGGTGAGTGTGCCTCCTTGGTTTTGTTTTACATAATAGCAATGCTCAGGATCATTAAAGTTCTCCACCATTGTATCTATAAAGGAATCTTACATAATGTTAATATACGAGAGGAGAAACCTTCCTGGATGAAAACTTTTAAGTCTGTATCTTGCTCAACTAAGCCAAGTAATTAGCAACAACAGGAACAACAGAAAGTTATCTCAGCCACCTGTAAATGACAAGATGTGCTCAGCTGTCTACAAAATCCTGCCTGTCCCTTTTTCATGTTTTCATCAATGACACCCTCTAACTATATAAGCTTTTATAAGTTTTATAACTTACATTAGTTTTTATAAGTTTTTTATATTTTTAAAATCCAAAGATTTTACCTAGAGGTAAGTAGAGACCTGAGTGCATAGCTGCTATCTTCCTGGACACTTTTTTAGGCACTAATTTTTGATTCTGGACATTAAAACATGTTGAAAAAATCAATCCTTATCCCCTTCTGAGGTGGTCACCTCCAGTACAGGTTTCATCTGTATATCTGCGGTCAGGTCATCTTTCTTCCTAAGCACCACTTCTACTTTATCTGCGGTCATCACTGGTGGGAACAGACTGCTTTATAAACACTGGCAAATCCTTTCCATTTGACATATCATCCTTCCAGTTTTATCTGCAGTTGCCCTCAGAATGATCTGGTTTAGTTAGGTTTCACTCCAGGTTTTCAGCAGGTTTGTTTCCCCATCTACTACCTTCTCACTCTTTCGTATTGCTCTGAATTTTCTTTCCTCTTCTCTGATGTTTTGCAAACAAGATTGGCCTCTGAATAAGTGTCACCCTTGGCTGTCATGACTTCCAGTTCACTGAGACTAAACAAATACTTGCTGGATGAAGCGGTTTGTGGACTCTTCTAGCTGCCTGTATGTAGCAGATATTTTATATTTGTTAAACTTCTCTAAGAAGTGGTGATAAGCAGAATGAACATCTTCACTTTTATCCATTTCCCGTAGCAAATGGTTTGTTTAAAGAAATTAGGTTGGAGCTGCTATAACTTCATATAGTCTTCTCTTCACTAGTTTTTCATGCTTGTGCTTGTTGGCCTCTGTTGTAAAGTGCTGATCTAACCAAACAGATGGCCAAATCAAGTAATTCCCAGCCTTCGAGTACAATATCACCCATGTCCCTTTTGTACATCAAAAAATGTCACAGACATTCACGTATTGTAGCTGCATTGTTAGTAGAAGTTTTTCTGAGTCTGTACCTGGGATTTCATTAGTGTGGGGTGCTGCTGTTTTTCAAACCCCTTTCACTGATGCAAACTGTTCATTTATTTCTAACTAATAGTCTTAGAGAATTGCTTATGGTACTGAGAAGTTAAGTGATTTGCCCATGGTAACACAGAAAGTCTGTGTCAGAGGCAGGATTGAACCCAGGGGTTCCTGACTCCAAATCCCACTCTCTATTGATTACACCATGTCTCTTCAGAGAAAATGACAGAAATGTAAATCCAGTTATGTCTTAAAATGAATTTTATTAGCCAGAACAGCATTTACAGACATTTGAAAAATTATAGGACACATGTACTAGACATTTATCAAGTCTACGAGTCTATTTATTTAATGGACTGAGTCATTCAACGAAACAAACGCCTCCAAATAATTCCAAAACCTCTATGGCCCTTGAGTAGGAGCCATAGGCACTAAAGAATTTTTTTTTGGTGGTGTTCAGGGTTTACTACATCCAGCATCTTCTGACTTTTCTTGGGGGGGAACCCAAACCCATTCATGATACACAGTACTCGAAAGCCTCATGCCTTTAGTCTCTCATTTCTTAAGCCCAAACCAAAATTTCCAACTTTTTCCACTATTCCTCCCTGTGCCCTCCTTCATACTGAAGTTACCCTAAACACATGATGACTTGGTCTAGAAAATGTTGTCAAGTTTTTCATGTAACAGATGTTGGTACATAAACTGTAATTATCTTTATAATGTTCTGTTTATACTTACCATAAATAGTGATGGTGATCCATGACCAAGCATCCCATACAAAGCCGATTTTATTTTTGTTGCCTGAGGGCATAATTCCCCTTCAGCAAACACTTAAGTGTCTATACCATATAAGAAATTAAGGATACAGACAAATGCAACATCCCCTTTCCTCACAGAGGTTATATCCCACTGGATAACACTAACACCACTAGCTGGTTTCTCCTGGACAACTTTATATTTACCACATTCTCTTTAATTTCTGGTGTACCTTAAAGCAAAAATGTCAATACTTGATATAGTTCATTTCCTCTAGTCATAGGAGACAACCTCTTCACGGGCAAAAGTATAAAAAGCTGCAAATTTTAAGAGTGTCAGCAGTTAAACTTACATTTGTATAACTTTTGTGTATATTCCACCGTGTATAAGATTAGTTGTTTATATTTAATTCTCCTAGAGGACTACATGAGTCCTTCAAGCCTAGAACAATCCTCTACACATAGCAGGCATTCAATAAAATGTTTGTTGAATTAAATTAAATTAAACCAAAACCCCTAAGTCTTTTTCACTTGAACTACCAGTAAGTGTTGGAAGTTTCATCGAGGAAGGACAGGACATGTGAAGCTTAGGGAATAGCATTAGCAAAGGCAATTAGGTAGAATGACACCTACTGTACTTCAGGAAGATGTGAAGAACCAGGTTGTCTTTTGATGAACTTAGGGGTAACAAGCGTAAAGTTAAATTCTGATCTTGCTGAGGTGATGGTGACATGCTCCCTGTTTACATTACCTTGGTTGGAGGGAAAAGCATTGAAAAATGTTAAGTAACAAATATGCATAATAAAGCAAAACATTTTGTTACAAAGTCCCTGCCCCATCTCCCCCCAGGGGGAGGTATGAAAGTAAATATATATATACAAGCCCGACATGTTATCAGGAGGCTTTCTGATTGAGTCTAGGACTGGGAGAATGAACTGATGAGCTCCATTTTGCAAGCAAGAGTGCATGAAATATTGGCTTGGATGTTTTCTGTAGAAAAACTTCAAGTTGACTGATTAGGGGTATTTAATAATCGAAAGGCAGAGGTGATACCTAATAGTACTTGGCACGTAGTAAGCTCATAACAGATAGGCATATGTCTGTGTTACAGAAGACCTGGGTTTAAATTGCATCTCAGATATTATATCACACTGTTCATCTACTATGTAATTCCTGTTGAAACTCTAGAATGAATTCTGAAAAGGGTGGTGTGTTAATACTAAGAGAAGTGGTGAACACCAAGACTAAGCATAGGTTTGTCCAGAACAGGTCATGCCAAATTAACCTTAATATCTTTTTCTTTTTTTTTAGTTACTTAATAGATTAGACATCATAGTACAGTATACATTGATTTCAGCAAAGCTCCTCGAGATGATCTGGTGGTCAAGATGAGTGCTAGTGAATTAAGAACTGGTACACAATCCCAAAAAGTAGTGGTAATTAGTGGACTGGGATATGAAGATGGTCTCATGGAATGTCTAAATGATCTACATCTTGCCTCTGGGTAATTCAACACCTTTACAAATGACAGCGCCTAACAAATAGTAGGTGTTAAATAAATGTTGGAATTGAAAATTACTTGGATGATAGTATCATTAGCATACTTTTCTAATTTGCATTGGGTGTCAGGAAGCTTAGACAAATAGGTACCATTTAAGGTATATTACTACGATCCAAAAAGAAGACACTAGAACAATGAATCAAATCCAAAAAGATGAAATGTAATCAGGATGAATACCAAATAACTTTCATTTGGGTTTAAAAAAATTACATAACTACAGTTTGAGGGACACATGGCTAGATAATACTTACTATATGAAAAAGGAGGTCTGAGAATGTCGGTGGACTAAAAGTTCAGTGAGTCAAAATGTGATGATGGCCAAAAGAGCAACTGTAATCTTAGATTGCAATAACAGAAGTACAAGCATGCTGTAAAAATCAAGGGACTTTAACAGTCCCACTGTGATTTGCACTGGACAAACTGCATCTGAAATATCTTCTTCAGCTCAGCTACATTTAAGGAGGACATTAAGAGACCAGAAGCCAGAACTATATAAAGATCAGGTGAAATAACAGAGGCACTTCAGCAGAACACCTTGAGTGGGGGGAAGGGAGAAAAGAGGAATATGTAACAATCTTCGTTTATTTAAAAGCCTATCTTGTGAAAGAAACATTAAATTTATTTTGTTCCAGGGACAAAATTAGGAAAAATTGGTAGAACTTACAGAGACAGATTTGCAAAACATATAATCAGAGCTATCTAACTACAGAATGGGCTACTTCAGAAGATATCTCAAGAAAAGATTTTCAAGTGGCCACTTATTAGTGAATATAGAAAAGTATTCTGTTCAGACACCTGTTGGACTACATACCCTGAGTTCCCTTCCAACACCAAGTTTCTACGATTACTACAGAACAAAGACATAAATGCTAAAGGTTCTACATGAATGGTACAATATCAATAATCTTTTTCTGCCCTCTCATCTTCTTCAAGCACCTTAAGATAGTTATTTCTCAAGGCTCAGTTCTCAGTCCTCTATATCTTCTCTTTCTCAACAATCCCGTTCACTCCTTTTCCTTCAACTATCACTTTTATACCAATGGCTCTGAAATCTATCTCCAGTTCTGATCTCTCTTACAAGCTCTACCCTTGTATTTCCAACCACTTCTAATGAGGGCCTACTACTTAAAGAGCACTGCGCCAGGCACTGGAGGAGATACAAAGGTCAAATAAGACATCTAACCAGCAACCTCAAATAATTTTAATGTATCCTTCAAATTACTACCATGCTAATCTTTAGGGAGATGACTAGATGGCCATGTCAACTCTGCAATAAAAGAATCCTACCTACCAAATAAACTTCAAACTTAACCTGACACCCTACAATCTGATACCACCTTACCTTATGAGTCTTTTCTCATTTTACTCCCCTCACAAGTGTATCTATTAGCTAACTTGTTTGATGTTACATTGTGTCAAGGTGTCCCAGAATGCCAAAGTGCCCAAATGCCAAGCAAGAGAAACAGAAAGTTTAGCCTCTGGGCACGAGTGATAGCTCTTTGGTCTCAGTGGCAACTGAACAATAAGCTATGAGGAGAAAAAACTACTCTGTGAAACCTCCAGCTGGTCTCACCTGACTATAGGCAGTCAACTCCTCAAGCTGTCCCCAGGCCAGAGGATATATTGGAAATATGATGTAGAAAAATGTATGGAGTCAGGAGACACCTGTTTCCAAAACCTTACGCAATATTTACTAGTTCTGTAACCTGGACAAGTAATTTCATTTCTAAGTCTGAGTTTTCTCACCTATAAAATGAGGATACTTGTGGCACCTCCCTCAGGGGCATGGGGGTTGTAATAATTATTGTAATAATTAATTTTGAAAAACCGAAAGCACTATAGGAATACAATATTCTTGGCAATATTTCTTAACACTACTTCATGCAGTTGTGAGGAAATTGCTTAGAAACTATTAAAACATATAAATCCGAGTATTAGGGATAACTCTTACACTACTTCTTGGGAATATGTTAAGGGAAGTAAGCAGTAAGTCTTAAAGTATTATATAAATGTGATCCATTTTTTTAATCATCATGGTTAACATCTTTTTGTTAAGGACCACTTTTGGGGGCAAAATATAAGGTCTCATCATCCTTACTGATTCTTCCTGGCCAAAAGCTGCTCTGAAGCTCCCTCTTCTCCCATCACATCTACTAGAGGTCACTTTTACTCTTAAGTAGGACCTTCAGCTTCTGTCTCCTGCCCAAATATCCCCCTCCCACCAGAGGCCTTTCTGCCTCTCCTCCTTAGGCCCCCCTCCCTCACCCCCTCCCACCCGAAGCTTTTCTGCCCCGCCCCCTACCCTTCCCCTCCCACCAAAGGCCCTTCTGCTCCTCCCCTTCCCCCACCCCCCATCACCAGAGGCCCTTTCAGCCTTCCCCCCCCCACCACACACACACACCCCCCTCCCAACAGAGGCCTTCCTGCCCCTCCCCCCGGAATCTCCCCAGCTGAGGGCTCCAGCTGGACCTCTCCTCCCCCAGGTTGGTGCCTCCTCAGGTTCCTCCCCCAAGCAGGCCTCAGCGCCCCGCTTCCCCCGCCTTCCCCACTCCAGGGCGGGCAGGCCCGACGCGCAGCTCAGGGAGCGCCAGGCCTCAGGCCTTGCGGACCCCCGCCCCCGCCCTTGGCCCAGCAGCCCTCACCTAGCCCTCGGCCTGATCTTCGCTCTTCTCCCGGTCGACGCCGTCTTGACCGCTGTGGTAGTAGCCGCCAACGCAGCCCTCGCCCCTCACCACCTTGGCCGCCGCCGCTGCCCAGCGAGCGAGAGAACGCCCCCAATTCTCCGCCGCACCGCCGGAGAGCGAGGGACCGCCCGCCCCGAGCTCCCCCCGCAGGCCAGCGAACGAGCACCGGCCCCGAGCGCTCTCCCCCGTTGCTGCTGCTGCTCCTGCCGCTGCCGCCGCCGCCGCCCCAAAGCCTGCACCCACCCGAGCTCTCCCGCACCGCCGCCGCAGCCAGCCGCTCCCACCGCCGCCTCCCCGCGCTCTGAGGGCGCGGCTGTCACTGGCGTCACAATGAATCCTGCCCCGCCCCTCGCCCGGAGGCGCGAGCTGGAGAGGCTCCGCGGTCCCCATTGGCTGCTCAGCGAAAGCTCCCCCGGGGATTGGTTGGCTCCGTTCCTCCTCTCTGGCCTCTTCCCCTCCCTCCACCTAGGCCCCAGGCGCTTTAGGGGGATTAGTTGCAGCGTTGGAGCATCCGCCTCTGGCTCCTCATGCCCGAAAGCGGGGGCTGGGGGACCGGAATGGAGGCTCGGGACCCCGGCGCGTGCCCCTCCCCCACTCAGTCTGGCCTCGCCTTCTCCACGGTCCGGGGTTATCCTCCTTCCCTTCCCTTCCAGAGGGGGTGGTAGCTGATCCCGAAGAACTTGCCTAGGGGACTGACTGCCTTCCTCAGGGCTAATGGGCTGGTCCTCCAGTCTAGAAAGACTGAGAAGTTCGAGTGGTGTTTAGTAGTTTCTGAGTGACCTTGAACAAGTCCCTCTGTGCCCCAAGCAGTTCCCTAAAACTTGAAGTTCAGTCTCTGCCAGGGTGCAAGTTACCCACACCTCCGAAATCAACGGTAAGGACTAATAAAATAAATAAAAATGAGCGATCTCTATTTGATTGTAAGCTCTTTGAAGGCAGACTGGTTGTACCTTCTCTCTCCGTACAGCTTAGCACAGCACCTGAAACGTAGTAGTCCTATTAGAGATGCTTGTGACTTACAGCATTGCATCCTTCAAAGATTGTATATTTCCATTTGACCATTTCTTCATTGAGGAGAGTCTATTTCTTTCAAGCATGTTTACAGGTCTCCTTGGGGAACTGTGGACAGGTTTCAGTGGAGTCCCGGAACTTGGATAGAAAAAAAATTTACATCTTTATTTTCATTAACTTCTAACTGAAATTTAGACTTCAATTATAAATTAAAATTTTTAATTAAAAAAATTTTCTGAGAAGGGATACATAGGCTTTAACAGAACGCCAAAGGGGTCTGTGCCTCAAAAAAGGTTAAGAATCTCTGCCTTATAGACCTACTAGTCAAGTCCATAAGCAATTATTAAGTACCCACTATGTGCCAGACACCTTGTAAACTCTGGAGATACAAAGAAAGTCAAAAAATAATCCCTGCTTTCAAGTTGCTCACAGTCTAAAAAGAGAGACAACATACAAACAACTATGTACAAACAAGACAAATTAGAGATAATCAACAGAGTGAAGGCACTAGCATTGCTTGTAAAAGGTGGGATTTTAGCTGGGACATGAAGCCACGGGAGGCCAGGAGATAAAGATGTGGAGGGAGAGAATTACAGGCATGGGAGACAGCCAGTGAAAAGGCCCATTGTGGGCCTCCGTCATGGAGGCCAGTGTTACTGGATCACAGAGTATGTGGAGGGGATAAGGTGTAAGAATACTAGAAAGGTAGAAAGGGATCAGGTTAGGAAGGGCTTTAAAAGCCACATTAAGGATTTTTATATTTGATCCTAAAGGTAATAGAGAGCTATTGGAGTTTATTGAATAGGGAGGTGACAGGTCAGACCTGTGCTTTAGGAAGATCATTTTGACAGCTAAGTAGAAGACAGACTGAGTTAGGGAGAAACCTGAGGCAGGGAGACTATGGCTGTCCAGGCTTGAGGTAATGAGGGCTTGCACCAGGGTGGTAGCAGCATTAGAGAGAAGAGAGTATGTATGAGACATGTTGGGAAGACAGAAACAACAGAAGTTAGCAACAAATTGGATATGAGGGAGTGAGGGAGTAAGAAGTTGAGGATGGTGCCTAGGTTGTAAGGTATACGGGGTGTTCAGGGAGGACCAGCACTTCTGGTGTCAGGGCTGGTTGAGCCCATTTCAAGGCTGCTCATCCACCTCTGGTGTCCACCTTTCACCCAACTCTCACCTGTGGCTCCAAGAAGTTGTAGCATGCGCAGTGGTCACACTCCAGTAAAACCTTCTTGGCAAACAGGTTAAACCAGGTTGAGGGTAACCAATGGGTCTCAAACCCATGGGTGAGTTAGGAGGATGTCTGCCTCAAGCATGTGAAGACTTCCTCTGGTGAAATGGGCAGATGAGAACAATTTGTTCTAAAGGCCATGAAGCAGGTGATGTGGGGTGTTCAAAGCTTGGTCAGCTATCAAAGATGCCAAGATCCCCGGCCATCTCCAGTTGTCCTGCCTGTTGTCCTGTCCCTGGATTTTGATGACTCTGGAGGAGAGAATGAGATTGATGACCCTGTGTAATTCAGTCTCCCTTAAATCCAGTTCACTCCAAAGTCAAGACATTACCCCATGATGTCATTGGTCCTCTTCAAAACAAAGGGCAAACAACACTCCTGGGTGACTGGGAGGACAGTGGTGTGCTTGTCAGTAAATAGGAAGGTTGGAAAGAGAAGAGGGCAGAGGTAGAAAGGAAATTAGTTTCCTTTTGGACATATTTTAGTTTAAGATGTCTACAGGACTCCATTTTGAGATGTCCAGTGGGCAGTTGGAGTTGTCAGACTAGAGGTCAGGAAAGATGGAGGGCTGGATATACAGATCTAGGAAGCATTTTCATAGAGATGATCATTAAATACATGGGAGCTGATGAGGTCATCAAATGAAATAGTATAGGAGAAGAAGAGAAAGCCCAGGACAGAGCCTTAGGGAATATCCAGTTAGTGGATGTGACCTAGATGCAGCTAAGGAGACTGCGGTAATCAGACAGATAGGAGGAAAACCAAGAGAAACAGGGTCACAAAAACCTAAAGAGAAGAAAATATCAGGGAAAAGAGGGTGGTTGACAGTGCAAAAGGCTGCAGAGAGGTAAAAAGGATGAGGACTGAGAAAAGGCCATTAGCTTTGGTCATTAAGAGATCATTGGTAACTTTGGAGAGAGCAGTTCCAGTGGAATGATAGGTCAAAAGCCAGAGTTCAGAGAGTGAGAAAGAGTGAGAGGAATTTAGTAGAGGCACCTATTGAATAGGCAGCTTTATAATAGCAAATGGGGATGGATAGATTAAGAGGTTTTTTGAGGATGAGGGACAGACATGGGTATGTTTGTAGGCAGCAGGGAAGTAGCCAGCAGTCAGGGAGAGACTGAAGATTAGGGAGAGTAGGGGTGGGACACTCTGCTAGAGAAGATGGTTTGGAATGGGGTCACTTCTCCATGGAGAGGGGTTTGCCTTGGCAAAGCAAAGGACTACCTATTCATGTGAGACAGGGCTGCAGGAAGAGACATTGGCAGAAAGTATCTAGCTGATGTAATGTGAGGAGGAAGTGATAGAGGGAGCTGTCAGGGAATAGCCTTGATTTTTTTTTTTTTCAGTGAAATATGAGGTCAGCATCTCAGCTGAGAGGATGGGGGAAGGGGAGCCATGGGAGATTTGAAAAGGGGTGAAAATGTTTGGAAAATATGCTATGAGAGTGGAATGATGAGTCAGGTATCTGGAAAAGGATTGCCTTGCTGCCGTTGAGGACCCAGTTGAGATTATGCAGCAAAAATTTATAATGGACCCCGAGTCATCACTGTTTTGTGATTTTCTCCAGCTTTTGTCAGCCCCACATGAGCAGGAATGAGGGCAGTGGATGGGGGGCACTGTCAAGGGTTGAGGTTCTTCAGCAGAACAAGATCATCAATAGGATAAGGAAGCACAAGAGTCAAGAAAAGAAGACAGTATACGGCTGAATTGGTTTAGCAACAGGTCAAGAAGGGGAAGGTGAGGAAACTGTAGCCAGTGTAGGGGTGATGGTTCCCATGAGGAGGAAGAACATGGTTGGGCTAAGCCCTGGAATGGGCTCTTTGCTAACCAATGTGCCCCTTGCCAACACGATACGGTTATTCCTTTTTGATGGTTCTGTTGATGGGTAGTGGGAAGTCACAGGAAGATTGGCCACAAGATCTGGAAAAGCCAACCACTTGGGTTAGAAAAGGAACTCCTCCTGTATTTGGCAGGACTTCCAGAAAAGAGAGAGGAAGGTATTCCTTTGCCCATCTTCTGCAGCAATGACCAGAAGACTATATGCTTGTCTAGGCAAGCCTGAGTCCTTATAGCATCTTTCTGTTTCCCATTTTCTTACCTGAGCACAGACCCACGACCAATGAGCATGAAAATTAGACATTTCCTGACTTCCAGTCATTGAGAAATTTCCAAGTCAGGTGCTAATTGCCCCCTCTGACCCCTGCAACAGTAGAGAAATCCTTCCTCCAAGAAAATGTAGCAGGAGAAAAGACAAAGAAAGTTCAAGGTCTGCCTGGGGTGGTCAGGCCATCTGGATGATGTGATTTGCTTAGATAGTGCAAGTCTGAGACAAAAGTGGAATATCTGTTTCAGGAGCCCTACAAAATTGTCTTTACCTTTGGGGAGAGTATAATATATGTGATGAGTTATTGTTTTATTCTTCTGTATTTGTTAATAAAAGTTTATGAGTTTTTTTGTGTTTTAAGCTTTTCTGTGGTAGAAAAAATAAACCACTGTCCTATACCTGATACTTTTATTATATAGTTCACATGGTGATCAGAAGAAGCAATACAATGACACTCTCAAGGTCTCTCTTAAGAACTTTGGAATTAATTGTGGGACATGGAAGACACTGGCACAGGTCCGCCCAGCATGGTGTGCCCTCATCAGAGAAGGTGCTGTGCTCTATGAGCAAAGCAGAATTGAAGCAGCTCAAAAGAACTTGAGATGCACAAATTTAGAGAACCCACCCCAATGTTCACAGGAACTATTTATGCCTGACCTGTGGTTGAGCATTCCGAGCTCATGTTGGTCTGATCAGCCACAGTCGGACACACTGTAACTTGACT